TCACAGCATCCCAGATGTTTATTCTGGAAGACTTTTGATCTTCTGTGAACCAAGCAGACCTCTCCCCTGAGGCTCAACTGTTATTCACCCCCTAGGAGATACTCATTTTATGGCCTCCTGTGCTTTGAATACTTACCCATGAGTAGTTTTAAATCATTAACACAGCCTTGTTCAAAATTAAGAAATATGGTCAAAATGAAAGTGTTCAACATACCTTTTACACATGCCATAAGATTAACTGTATTAAAGACTAAAAATAATCATTTTTCTTCAACATTGGTTAGCACCTGAGCCAAAGAACCCTCTGAGAAATCTTTATTGCTCTTTGAGTCCTGCTTGGATTCTAATCCTTTGTGTCTCTGTTTCCAGGAAACCAGTTTTTCTCTGTAAGCTCTGGATGAGCTTAGACTGCCGAGCCTGCCCTCTGGGCCAAACCCGAAGACTCTTCTCTGGATTTCCCATGCAGCTCTGGATTAAGAGCTGGAAACCAAAAGCCAAGGTCTGCACCCTCATCAGAAGTAAGACGCTGAAGCAGTTAGTGGACTCTGCTGAAACAAACCTTCTCTGGACCCAACAGCTCCTCTCTCTGAGTTCAAACCGGAACCCTCAAGGTATAAATCTGAACATCACAAAACCAAACCCCTTTGCTCCCAAGCTAACTGCTCTGTTATCTACACAGACTCCAGTGAACCAGTCCCCAGGCCTGAACCAGTTCCAGTCATAATTCCATGTGCTTGTGAACAATAAACATTGTTAAACTTTTACTATTGTTTCCGTCTCCGTGGTGTTCTGCATAACTGGGTCTCATCAGTGAACCCATCATGACAATACAGACTTCAGAGATAACTGGAGGTCTTGACAAAAAATGCACAAGGGTACAATTTGTAAAACATTTGTGTGCCAATGAATAACTGTTATGCTGCTTACAAAGTTTACATAAGACTAATACAACGTTTTGCGTAAGCTACGAGTGTCATAAAACAGTGACAGAGGGACCCAGAAGTGAGACAGTCAGTGAAAAAGTTCCAAACGTTTATTAATATAAAAACATGGACAAACTGAAACTAAAGTGGATCTGCTAGGATCTGCGACTCTTGGATGCTGCAGGAGGGGGGCAGGGCACCGACCAATCTCAGACACTGGTGGGAGAAACACAGGTAAGTGACCACAATCATCTGACAGAAGAAGATGATCTCAGTGAGTCACTTACCTGGTTCAACAGTTCAGTCCATCTCCCTGGAAAAGGGCACAATTCAGCCACTGGACTGAAGAAAGATGTGGCATACGTCACTAAGAGTGTCCCCAGTGCAGCATTCCCAGAAGACATGCAGGAAGCCAATCCTGGACAGGGATTCAGAACAGGCAGGAACTGACCGAAAAGGCAGGATCCAGGCTCTCACGCATCCTAGAGCTCCCAGGCAGCTTCAGAGTCCAGAAGCGTGACAGGAGCAAACAAAATCAGGTGCAGACGGGCAGGCTCAGTGGAAAAGGGTAGCCGAGACAGGACGTGGAACCAGAACTTGAGGAGGACCTTTAAACTGGTCTCCACCTTGGAGCCAGGCTTACTGGAATAAAAACTGAACCTCCCCTCGTAAAGAGCTTTGGAGTAAAAATGAGCACTGAGAGTTGATATGCAAGGAAGAAAAGGTTTTCCTTCCGTAAAAATTCAAAAAATATCCACTGGACTTGGTTTTCAAGATTTGAAGACGTTTCGCCACCTCTCCAGGAAGCTTTCTCAATTCAAATGTCTGGATCCGCAGTGAGTTGAGTCTTATATGGACAAGGCCTTGTATTGCTTGGAAACATGCAAATGGTAACCGATGAATGGGTCGTTTAGTTCCATCGTTAGCCTGTAATATCTGAAACCTGTCTATGATTCTAGGGGTCGGTCGTTAAAGGGGCGGGGATTGCTGTTAAGGGGGGGATTATTACAGGTTTCAGTTTGTCAACTGAAACCTGTAATACCTGAAACCTGTCTATGATTGTTAAGAGTCAGTTGTTAAGGAGGTATTGTTCACGGGCTGGAGCGGGTAGGTCCCTCGTTCCTCTGAGATGGGGTGGGGGGTTTGGTGATATCTGGAAGGGATCATGTCTATGATTGAATTGTATGTTTTTGGAAGCTGGAATGTGAGTCCACCACCTCTGTTTAAAGTTGGTTTTTCTCTCTTAACATAGATGGCTTCCTTCACGCCCCTCTCAAACCACCTATTTTCTTTATCCAGAATATGAACATTCTGGTCCTCAAAAGAATGTCCTTTCTCCATCAGGTGTAGGTGTACTGCGGACTCTTATCCAGAGGAGGCCGCTCTTCTGTGTTGGGCCATGCGTCTGTGGAGAGGTTGTTTGGTTTCTTTAATATAAAGATCAGAGCATTCCTCGCTGCACTGAACAGCATATACCACTCCGCTCATATTCGGTCTGGGGGTTTTATCTTTAGGATGCACTAGCCTCTGTTTAAGGGTTTGGTTTGGCTTGAAATGTACTGGGATCTTGTGTTTGGAAAAATTCCTCTTGAGCTTTTCAGACGCTGCAGCAACATAAGGGATTGTGATGTTTTTGCGTTTAATTTTCCCATCGCTGTCTTCTGTTGGATTTGGATTTTTACGGAATGACTATGACCTGGATGACTGAGAACCTTCATCAGCAAGAAAAGGTTTTATTTTACTCTGCAGAGGAGAACTACATGAGACAGCTGCATACAGCTCATAGTGTAGCTTTGACTAGGTCACTGCCCACCCTTTGCATATATAGAGAATTCTTACACACGGACATTGAGTCTTCCAAACAGAAATACTTAATCAAAGTACATAAATTTGTTCAGATAAACATCTCAGACAACTTTTTTCGTTCAGACCAGAGACAGGACGTGAGGATCTTAAACACAATAAGGACCTGTTTATCTATGTTTCCCTCTTATCTAAACTAGGGAGGAAACTCCTTTTCAAACTTCCTTCCTTTCCCTACATCTCAGCATAAAGAATGGAACAATAGCTTCTAACTAATCACCCCTATTCAGAAAGAAAGAAGCGGCACACTTTAATATTTAACCTTACTAACATCCAATGAAAACACCACAAACCACAGAGCCAAAAACCCAGAGGACTCAACAGGGGAGAAACAGTGGACGAGCAGGAGACAGGACAAATACAAAACCCTCTTTCTGCCAGGATCCAGGACATGAACCTTAGAACAAACAGACTGAACAGAAAACAACATCTAATGATATGACCATGACAGCTGGAACGGAGCTTTAAAATAGGAACTTCTTCATGAAAAGGAGAGACTAGTGAAGATCAAGATTTGCTGCAATACAAAACACATGAAAAGTAGAATGACTCTCTCAAACTACTCCCATGTCAGCACACAAAGCTCTTTGTATTGAGGGGAAGACCAGCTGATGGATTATTTGATGTTATTGAGAAAAACAAATGATCAGAGAAAAAGCTGGACACATAGTATGGTGATGGAGAGTTTCTCCACTTGTGTCAGACTGAAAGTGGTTAAGAGAAAGTATCTTGGCATTCTAGGAATACAAGGAGCTGCATCTTAAGCATTATAAGCTTTTTATAGGATGCATATGATGCTGACTGGTGGCTGGGAGTGACTGGAGGAAATCCAACCTGGAGTGGGAGTAATTAGACCAAACTAAAACCAACATAAAGACAAAAGTTCTCATTTTGAAACAATTTTATAATGAAAGTAACAATATGATTGTCCCCATTGAGCTCCTTTGTCAACTGAAACCAATTGCTGGCATTTTTTTATTCATACACACATATTTAACATAACATGAAAAGCATATTTTAAATCATGAAACATTTCCAGTTTGACTCTTACAGGTCAACATTGACCGGATAGTGGTAGTAAATAATTATTATTATTACTAATGCTATTATTATGATCGACTGGCATCACTCTGATCTTAATGATCTCAGCTTCTGTTTTCACAGTTTATACCCATCTATGTATAAAGTGAGAAACAGCTGATGATGCAGAACAACCAAAGACAGTAATCATTGCAGAGTTTATAAACAATCAGGGTCCTCACAATTATTTTACACTAACTAGTAGCAGGGTTCTTTTAGCGCTGGAATGTAACTCAATATTTAAACAGGGAGAATTTGTTTAATTTTTGACACAGGACTTTATACTGTTAGCTATGAGCTAAAGCTAACACATTTTTACTACCAGGAGTGATGATTCATAGTTAGTGTCTTTAAAACTTTTATTTCATCTGTTTCTCTCAGCTATCCTCATCGCTCTCACAGCTCCTTCTTCATTAAGGCATAATAAATGAGCAGCCACATATTTTATATAAGACCATGGATGTAAAGTTTCTGTTTACAGAACATGATATTCTCTAAAATAATGACTTAGTCATCAATTTATTAGGAGGACAGAGAAAATATCAGTAATTAAATACCATCTGTATGAGGAAGAACCTGTGAAAACTGAGCAGTGCAAAACAGTTTGTGGTATTTTTGCATCACCTGTGATTTAAGCTAAACCATTCAATGGTCTATTATTATCACCTGAAATCTAACATTTCTATTGTCTGTGTTTAGCAGTAATAATTTTTACTTCCATCTAATGATTATTCATTTGTGACATTTACTCCACATGAATACATAATTTCATCATCTAAAGTCTAAAGATGTAAATAATTTCTAAACTATAGATCATTATAAGATCAATTCAAAAGATGTTGTTTTTTTCCTATTTTTCCTGGATGTTCTTAATATTACAGTAAATTAGACCGTTTTATTTACAGGCAAAACTCTATACTGTATTTTGAAAAGAAAAAATAAACCAAAGAATTATAGGTCTTTTGTTTTTAAATATGACTTAAATATGACTTATAACTTATATATAACTTTTATAATAATATAATATAACTTTTTTTTCTAAACAGGTTAGTATTAAAAGGGATCAAATGTTCAGCAGCATTAGAAACTCATTCTCCTCTAAAATATATATTTAAGTCCAATAACTTAAACTTTATAATTCATTAGATAGAGGACACAGTTTTAGATGCAACCCATTTACTGAAAAGCAAACAAGTGAAAAAGTCCAAAAACATCAAATATGTGTCTTTGAACGACACCACATGAGATGAGAACAATCTTGTTCAAATTAATCTACATGTTTTACTCCAACATTTGGTCTAAGAATAGATGCCTATGATCATTTACACAGAAAATACAGATTGACTACATAATCTCCAGGACAGTAACTGCAGCTCTAATTGCTTCAAGAAGAAACATATTTTACCCCAGCCATCAATACAGTTTATACATTAGAGCTTTTATATTTATTCTCTTTAATTTATAAAGCCCCAACCACGAGAAATGTTATTTTATTTTTTTTCCACCACCATTAGCTTTTAAGACTATGACACCAGAGATCAGCTTGAGCTTTAATTCTTAGAACAAATGAAATTCAGTTCCTCTGAGGGATTTCTCTGGAACCACTTATGTTGTCCTCCTGCATCCATGGCTCCAGACATGTCACAGTCATTCTTCCATCTTTCTGAGGCTGGGCTCTGATTGCTGCCCCAGTTCTCCTTACAGACCCAGAACCAGGCCTTCATCAAGCAGTTGAAGCGCAGTCCCATCCAGACATAATGAGTCGAGGCCTTCTTGGCTTTCTCCTGGACCAATCTCTGCTCATCCAGGCTGGTGATGGTGACCAGGTCATGGTAGTGATCTCTGCAGTAGTATAAGGCATCCTCCCAGTTCATCTTTTCTTTGATCAGGATCACTTTATCTGATAGAGAAGATATGGGACCAAACAAACAAATTTTCATCTTTATTTCAGTTACTATTCAGAAACAAGAACCAAAAAATAAACTATGGACAAACAAAAAAAAAAAAAAAAAAAAAAAAAAAACATTTTACCGTGAGCCGGTGATGTTCTTCATATGAACATAAACAATTTGGGGTAAAGATTTATGTTTAATTATTTCTATTTTCAGTTTTAAAACACACAGAATACACTAATTAAATACATACATGCATTAACCTGACACATTTCTATTAATGTGGGACCAACTCACCATCATAACAGATGAAGGGTCTTTCCTGGTCACAGCTGTCAGTCTTCCATCTGCCTTCATCATCAATTCCAGCTGCAGCACATCGACCAGTGTGGTATTGGTATTTGTAAAACTGGTCATTCCAGTGTCTGAAAGAAAAACTGCTTCCATCTGACCACCTCCAGCTGTCTCTGAAGAGACCAAAATATATGTATGTCCAATCTACCACAGACTTCATCACTTCCTTCAGTTCTCCATCCTGTAGCTGCTTCATTCCACTGATCAGGTCTGTGTGTTTCTCTCTGCAGTAACTCTGAGCTTCCTGCCAGGTCTTCTTCTCTCTAATCAAGTGGTATTTCTGGGTTCTATTAGTTTCTGTGGAGTAAACAGATAAACTCACATCACATTAAATGTACATGTTTTCTTGTTTGTTGAAAAAATACTCAATAAAACAAAGAATAATTTGACAACCCATAAACAAACTACAGAAAAGTAAATCAACATTCTCACCATCATAACAGAGGAAATGGTATTTGATGGGGCAAAGAGTATCTCTCCATCTAAGGTCATTATTTAAAATTCCACAGTTCTCATTTGCATTTCCTTTATCACTTGGTTCTCCTTGGTCCCAGTTTGTCTCCCTTTCATTGAACTCCACTCCAGGCAGAGACCAGTACCATGTTCTGATACCATCTGTCTGATCATACAGACCAATCCAAACGTCCCTCTTATCTCCCGCTCTGGTTCTGTTGAGTCTCTTCATGTCTGCCATGTTAGACACTGTGGCCAGGTCAGTGTGTTTCTCTCTGCAGTACTGCTGAGCTTCAGTCCAGTTCTTTTCCTCATTAATGTAGAGATACTCATAGAGCTGACAGTTGATGAAACAACTCTGACCTGAAAATATAAAAATGTTGCTGTATTTAGCACTAGATTATAAATCTCCACCAGCATTTGCAGTAGGTCGTTAGTTTAGGTTTATGTAGGGTTATAGGGGTGAAGTGGCTCAGGGGAGGTTGTTGTTAGAGTGATAACTATTCTGTGTTTCAAACAGAAGGGTCATAAACTTTTATGACCTCCTGTAGGTCATGAGGCAGAATCACACGGATGTGTGACTTCCATCCAGCCAGTTGGTCAATTCACACTATCTTGTTACCTGCATCCTCCCAGACAATGATTACTGGCTTTTCTGTTTTAGGCCCGCCTGTTTGATGTTGTAAACTGTTAATAAAAGGCTTTGCCATGAAGGGATCTGTGGGAGAAGGTGATGGCTTTCCAAGCCAGCATTCTTCTCTCCACCCGGCACACGCTGACGTCACAAAATCCCGTCTCTGTGTTGATCATTTTCCTTTTAATCTTTTAAACTCACATTTCTCTGGATTAAAAACCCAACATTTTTGGTGCTGAAAACCCGGGAGTCAAGATCCAATTGTCCAGGACCGTGCGGGACCAAGGCCAAGAAACTGTCAACAGCCGTCCACCCTTTGCCGGACAGAGCCAATAGGTTGGTCCAGCCCTGCCCTGGACATCCTGGTGACGACTCAAGCTGAGGACTGATCTGCACAGAAACGGTACACCTAAAGTTTTTTATCAACAGTGAACACACGTGAAAGCTATAACTAGTTGTAGTCGCTAGAATATTTGACAAACAGGGTTTGTTGTGATAGATCTGGGATCGGTATTCTATGCGTTTTGGGTCAGGGACCCTCTGTGTGAAAGCTATAACTAGTTGTAGTCGCTAGAATATTTGACAAACAGGGTTTGTTGTGGGAGATCTGGGATCGGTATTCTATGCGTTTGGGTCTGGGACCCTCTGTGTGAAAGCTATAACTAGTTGTAGTTGCAAGAATATTTGACGAAACGAAGTTTTGTTTACAAGTCTGGGACCTGGGTATTCTGTGCGTTTGGGTCTGGGACCCTCTGTGTTCAAGCTATAACTGGTTGTAGTTGCAAGAATATTTGACGAAACGAAGTTTTGTTTACAGGTCTGGGACCTGGGTATTCTGTGCATTCGAGTCTGGGACTCTATGTTGGTTAACAAATAAAAAATATTAGGCCTTAGGTGTGTGTGACTGTGTGAAAGTGTGTGAGGAAACAATCGAACCGCTGTGTACTGGACTAAATTCTTTAAAAATGGGACAAGGCAGTAGTAAGAAGGAAATGCCAGATGATGTTAGATGGATGGTGGCGTGTTGTGGTGGTGACCCAAAGTTTGCCAGAAAGTGGATTGAGAAGGAAGACTGGGATGGAAAGTTGAAAGTTGAGCCGCTGACAAAGATTCAGCAGAAGGTGGAGATGAAGTTGGTGTATAAATCAAAAAGAAAACAAGCTAAATACAGAACAGAATTAGAAGAGTTAAATAAGTGGATTATGCAAGCAAAAAATAGGGAAAGCCAAATACAACAGAAGAAGGATAGAAAGACAGCTACAATTGCTGCTGTAAAAGTTAAAGCTGATGAAGAAACTGTTGTTTCCCGTATGCTTCCTCAATATCCTGACCCTAATCAAATTCAAGGGGGTGATGGGGTTCAAGCAGTGGCATCAGCTGCGCAGGAAGGTGGAGATAAACCCCATCACGGTGAATATGAACACAGCCATGCCACTGTTCCTCCTCCAGTAGCCCCACCATCGTGTGGTGATATTGGAGGAGCAGGAGCAGGCCCCCTGTCCATATCGTCCTCTGTGGATGGTATGGAACTCAGTGCCTCTGACCCTTGTGAGCATGAATTAAGAAAATCAGGGGGGGATGTGAAGCTTGATTCGAAGTGTTACAGGGATGATTATCAAGTGGAGGCTTGTGGAAGGGGCCCATCTGCCCCTATTCATCCAAGATTGGCTGAATTAAAAAAACAAGAACAGGACCAAGATCCTGGGAGGGGGGCATGTGCTTTTCCGGTGTTGGAGGTGGCCAACCCTCATTGTGGTCAACGCACGGGACCCCAAGATGGTGACCCACTGGATTGTGGACCCACTGTTCTTGTGTGTGGGCCATGGACAGATGCAGAGATGCGGACTGCCTGTCGAGGTTTACCTCCAGCCAGACAGAACCCAGTTAAATGGTTTGAGGATGTTAAAAATAGATTGAGAAAATTCATGGCAGAAACAGGAAAGCCATGGGCAGAAAACGAACAAGATGACATTGACCCGCTAACTAAGTGGATGCTGAAGCTTTTCAGCGACAAAACTGTTCGGAAAACATGTAATCTGCCTAGTGCTCCTTTTGTTTCCCCACAGGAAGGCCTGAAGCCTGGAGACCGAGTGCTGATTAAAATCATCAAAAGGAAAACTTGGAAAGCTCCGAGGTGGGAAGGACCCTACAAAGTGCAACTAACAACCCCCACTGCCGTGAAAATCCAGGAGAGAGACACTTGGATCCACCAGAGTCATTGTAAACTGATTAAAAACTTTCCACAGCAAAAAAGCCCAGTTACTTTCACAGGGACCCCACGACTAAGGTATAGATCTGTGGTGAAGTCCAGCTTCAAAGGGGTTTGGTTTTTTTAGGACCACTCGTCTCAACGCTGGTGAAAAAAAACAACCTAACCCAGTCTTTTAGAGTCCGGTTAGTGGGTGTTTCCTTGGACGGACTGGCAAAGATCTGAAAAACCAAAGTGGTTATGCTGCCCGGTGATGACTGTTGGACCGGCCTTCCAAGGAACTCAAACTGACTGTCTGAAACAAAGGAAGAGCAGGATGATTTTTGATGGATCCACAGCAAGTCATCCTACAGTGCCAAGATGTGGTGGCAACATGCAAAACATGTTGCTGAAGATTTGAACAAAACAGACTGTTATGTTTATACTCATATTCCTACTCCTATGAATAAAATATGAATTGAAAGATGCTGATGTTTTTATGTATAAGAGGAGGGAAATGTTAGAGTGATAACTATTCTGTGTTTCAACCAGAAGGGTCATAAACTTTTATGACCTCCTGTAGGTCATGAGGCAGAATCACACGGATGTGTGACTTCCATCCAGCCAGTTGGTCAATTCACACTATCTTGTTACCTGCATCCTCCCAGACAATGATTACTGGCTTTTCTGTTTTAGGCCCGCCTGTTTGATGTTGTAAACTGTTAATAAAAGGCTTTGCCATGAAGGGATCTGTGGGAGAAGGTGATGGCTTTCCAAGCCAGCATTCTTCTCTCCACCCGGCACACGCTGACGTCACAAAATCCCGTCTCTGTGTTGATCATTTTCCTTTTAATCTTTTAAACTCACATTTCTCTGGATTAAAAACCCAACAGTTGTCTTGTATCAAAGGTGCGTCGCCGTTTGAGCCTTTGCTCCATTTCAGTCGTTCTGTCATTGATCAGATCATCAACCTTCTCTGCTTGTGCTGCAGATTCAGTGGCTTTGCTTCTGGCTGCTCCAGGGCAGCTGTGGTTACAGTGTAGCTGAACACAATCAGCATTTGAATGGATGAAAGACTGAATATGAAGCACTTTGCAGTTAAGAGACTTGATAAAACATTATACTGTACAAGTTTTATTTTTTTAAGTCTGTAATGTATCACAAACCAGTGAGTGTAGCTTTATTTAATATCAACTTACCCATCAGAATGAACAGAACCAGATTCCACTGCATATCTGCTGTCTGTTTTCCTGTTGGAGGAAAAAGACATTAAATAGTTAAAATCAGGATCGGAAAACGTGCAGCTCTTCCTCCACTGTACAGAGAAACAATGATAGGAGAGGAGCTGAAGCCAAACAGGAAACAGATCAGAGAACAAAAAAACTGAAAAGTTTAATGTTTACAAATAAAAAATACCTTTAAATAAACAAATACATAAAAACAAAAAATAGATAAAGCAGATTCTAATAAGGTTGAATGCAAGAACAGATTGAGCTCAAACCTTCCTCTGCTTCCTTTCTCCTCACTAAATGGGATGTTCCTTTCTTGATGCTCTGCTGAAAACTGTCCCACTAAACTGTTGGTATCTTTGTTTTGCTGATTTCTGAACAGTAGATGAATTTTACCATGTCACAATTTAAATATTCAAAACTGGACGCAGTGTTGCATGGTTCACAGGAAAAGTACAGACCTTCACGAACAAAAATTCTGGATAAATGTCTGTAACAGGGTGGAACAAATTATTTGAATATTTAGTGACAAAAAGTCTGATAAAACTAAAAGCCTCTATTCACCAATGCATGTATCAGGTGAGAGTCCAGCTGTATTATCTGACTGCTAGTGTTTACCATGGAAATTATTTCAGTTTTTCATAACATCAGGGTTAGTTTACAGACCGCTTATTGAACAAATTTATCACATGGTCAGAAAAAAAGTTTAAAAGGTGCATTTATGAGAAAAATACATTTAGCTTATTAATCAACAGAAATTAGGTGAAAATTGTCACTGCAACATTTTTAAGCATTTTATTCATAACACTTTTTTGTTTCCTATTTGATTCATGTTTTGGTTTATCAACTCTTAAGTCACATTCACTATGAATGTGAATACAGTGAGTTATTTCCATGTTATTCCAATGTAAGGGCGCTTTCTGGTGCAGATAAATGGTCACTGAATCAAGCAAAGTGATTGGCTCATATTACAGCAAAGCATCATTGCAAAAAACACCGCAGACCTGCAGATATATTGAAGCAGCACTGGCAGTAGGGGAGGTGGTGGCATGGATATGGATAGAGTGCAGTGAAATTTTGCAGAAGTTCTGAACTATTGTTTCACAGGTTGATCCGTCCTCCTGCCTCAACCCAGCAGATCCTGATACCAGGTTCTGTTCAGATAGAAGTACAGCTGGAAGTGATCATGTAGTCCCAGCTCCTGCAGCAGGTGGTGGTACTGGCCAGACTGGAAGCAGTTTTTACAGCATGCCAAGAGTCACCCTGTAAACTTGAGCTCAGCCAAGGCACAGAAAAGCAACAAATAAACACCAGTATTATTTGATGATGTGGTGGAGCGCCTGGGAAGAAGTTTGCTATGGTTTCTTAGCAAATTCTACACAAGAAAAAGGAAGAATGTGAAGTCAGCAACTCTGGGTGAATCATATGGAAAATGTACAGCTGTGCTGTTCAATAAGAATTGATCTGTGTCCTTTATTGTTACTTTCTCCATATCATTTGATTAATAGATAATTTTGTTTATTACAATTCTATTTTCGCTGCTGCTATCAACTTTCTGTTTTTTAATGTTGGAGCTTGGAAAGTTTTTCAGTGTAGTCCTGTTTCTCTGACTGTGCTCTCTTTCATCCTCTGACATGGGAGCTGGTTCGGAGCTCGTCTTCCTGGCTGTGTGTTTCCTAGAAGGGACCGCCCCTGTAGCTGGTTGACAGTGACCTTTTGTATCTGCTTCTTTTTGTATCTCTGCTTCTTTTTGTCTGCTTCCGTCTTTTTGAACCCCAGTCGGCCTCAGCAGATGGCCGCTCACACTGACCCTGGTTCTGCTGGTTTCTTCCTGTTAAAATGATTTTTTCCTCTCCACTGTCGCTAAAAGCAGGCATGAGGCATTGCTGAAAAGTCAACAAATTAACATTGTAACTGCAAGCTCAACCAGGAGGAGCATGTCTTGCAAGTCAGTGACTCTATGCAATCAACTGGTTTTCCATGTCATAAACTTGTAACCAATCTGATAGTACCGTGAATTGGCTCTATATGAAAAACCTGAATTCATTTGAATTGAAAATTTATTCATTTTGTCTCTGCAATACCTTCACAGTAGAGCGGTGATCTTCTTTTTAAAGATAATTAAGTACCATCTATTAATGTTCCTTCTTTGTTGAATCAATCTTTGTAGAGACTAGTTAGGTTTTTGCTTTAATGATTTTATTTTATTATTATCCTCAATGCTAGGTATTTTATCTTTCTTTTTCTTGTTGTTTGCAGTGAATTAAAAAGTATCCATACCCCTTTTGAAAATCAAAAAGGCAAAGAAATAAACATTTCATCTGTGTTTCTGGTTTCTCTGTTTTTGTCAGATTTATTTTTAATAAACATATCTGCATATTTGACTCATTGCTTTTACTTTCCTCTATTGGTGCCATGAAGCCATGTTTCTGAATTAAAAAGAATTTGTTTATATATTTTTCCTGTATCTGTGTGCAGCCCTTGGCTAAAAACAAACAAACAAAACACCATGCACTGAAAATGTTAGAGTACGTTTATGATTATTGTATATTCTTTGTATGATAAATACAAGTGAGAGTATCAGTGTTTTCTTTTATTAGTCTGTACGCTACGGACTGAGGACCAGTAAAAGAAAGGAAAGTAATTAGAAATTTGAGGGACAAGTTAATTGAAAGGGGAGTTGAGAAGAAAAAAAAATGGACTGGGGGATGATTGGAGGAGAAGGTGAGAGTGGGAAGAAAAAAGAGGAAGGAGGATGCGGATGGAGACCTGAGTTTAGGAGCGCTGGAACGAGGTTGGAGAACGCACTGAACTGTTCCATGTTTTTTTTCAACAAGTCGATTCAACACTCCTAGTCTGTGACTTCTGAGGTGTGTTGAAACGCGATGGAGGTGAAGAAGCCGAGACGAGAACCGTGGCTGATCTAAGGGAGACTGCAGCGTAGCGGAGGCTCATTTGTTGCACCACATCCTAGCATCAACAGGCCTGCAACAAAAATTAAAGCAATACCGAACTGTGTGTGTGTGTGGGCCCACTTGTAGGTTTTCTAGTGTTCCTACGGGTAATTTTCCTGTAAAGGTATGGGGTGCTTTTTATGCCAAAAAATGGGATTCTAGTTTTGCAAAAAAATTGTTGAACTAGTTTTTGCATTTAATTGAGAGAGATTTAAATTTTGGTAAGAGCCTTTATAGTTAGTGTTTTTTATTTATTTTTTTTTTTACATTTATCAGGGTGGTTGTCCCAAGTTTGGGTTGAACATTTAATTTTGTTCTTACACAAATGTTTTTCTGTGTTTGGTTGTGTTCTCATTAAACAAAATTGTTTTAATAGCAGGTTGTCTGGAATTATTTCAGTTATTATACTTATATGCGTGGTGAATAGTGATTAGAGCAACACGTTTTTGCTTAAGTTAGGTAAACCTACATGGTACCTGCCTGAATTTAACGAACCCAAAACAGCAACCCACTAGTTTGTTTACTTTCTGGTCCCAGTTATTACATAATAAGGGCAGTGGGGTGCTACATGTGTTTGAATCATACAGCCTGACAGTTTAAGTTAAAGAAAGAAGCATTACATGTAAAGTCACAGTTTTAGGAAACCTCACATTCAGTTGTAGAAATGATAATTTTTTTTTCAAAATGTTTCGCTTAAAACAAAAGACTAAGACTTAGACTTATTCAGACTTAGAAAACTTTTATTGTCATTTTGTATACATAGTGTTTACATGATATTTCCATTCCATAAAGTGCAGCAGTGATCAAATGTAAACAATGTGGGAGAAAAAACATGGTGCAAAAAATGCATTGATATCACTGCATGAAAAGTGAGATTTTCGTCCCCGTAAACTCCCGCAGATCTCCCTGATTTTCGTCAGTTTCTGACAATTTGCAACCCGCGCTTGTCCGCGTTTGTCGTGCCAGAAATTGTCGGAAACGGACACCGAGGTATGTAGAGAGCGATCAGCTGTACTAATGGCCCTAATTAGCATATGAATGCAGCAAACCCGCGCAGCTGGCCAGGTCTGGCTTGAATAACCTACTCAGTATTGGCTGAAACCACTATTCTCAAACAAGTGAAATCGTTCGTGATTGGCAGCAAAACCACACGTGGCCACGCCAGGCTTTAATTTTCTTACTGAGTATTGGACGGAACCACTTCTTTTTAAAACAAGTAAAGTCGCTCGTGATTGGTTGGCATATATATATATATATATATATATATATATATATATATATATATATATATATATATATATACAGAGATGGCAAAAGTACTCACTTTCCGTACTTGAGTAAAAGTACAGATACTTGTGTTAAAAAAATACTCTGGTAAAAGTGGAAGTACTGATTAAACTTCTTTACTCAAGTAAAAGTAACAAAGTACAGGCTTGTAAATTTACTTAAAGTATAAAAGTAAAAGTAGAAACCACTTTTTTCATGCCGTTGCCTACATTTTAAATGGATGTCTGCCAATAGGACTAGATCTCTGTTGTGTTCATTTTCAATCATCTCGTCGTCCATGCTACTATGCTAACGCCACCGCCACCAAGCTGCAATGATTTGCCGCCAATGAATACCGCCGAATCTGTCGATTCATCTTGTAGCGGTGCGTCAAATGCAACGTAGATTCCCATCCAATTAGATTGAATTTGGTATTGATGACGTGAAAAATAATAACGGTAACTCCACTGAAATGATTCAAAACTAAATTAACGAGCCAATTTTTTAAAATGTAAGGAGTAGAAAGTACAGATATTTGTGTAAAAATGTAAGGAGTAGAAGTAAAAAGTCGCCATAAAAATAAGTAGTAAAGTAAAGTAAAAATATCAGAAAAATCTACTTGAGTACAGTAAAGAAGTATTTGTACTTCGTTACTTCCCATCTCTGTATATATATATATATATATATATATATATATATATATATATATATATATATATATATATATATATATATATATATATATATATATATATATATATGAATATATATTTATTCATTCATATATTTATTCATTCATATATTTATTTATTCATATGCTGTGTATTTATGTTATCCTACACTACTACACAATTATTAGGCTACCATCAAGGACATGAATGAATTTATACAGGAAATGAACATTTGCCAGGAAGCTGTTTATGCAAAGAAAGAGCTTTATTAAAACACACACAACTATATACAACGCGTATCCAAACACATGCGTATCTAAAAATTACAAGTCCGTGAACGGTCCGTTTGCTTCCTCGGGGTTGGAGGTAACTGGCAGCATTCCCTCCGAGGCAGGTCCGATGTGCAGACGCCTACTGTGCGTGGCCCTGTACTTCGGCATCGCTTCTAACCGGGATTGCAGCTTAACACAGAGTTCAGT